ACGCCACAACATGCAAAACATAAACTATTAACATCTAATAATATTATTTTAATTTAGAACTAAAAACCCATAATATTATATTTCCAATAGAACAAACATTACAGATTAAAAATGATATAGATAAAAGTTTTATTTATTTATATGAATCAACGGATACGCTGATAAAAGCTTGTCATGTAAATATTAAATGACGTCTGATAACAAATATTATTTACACGATTAGATCATAAGTGTGTAACCACCTTTATCAGAAATAGATATGTAGTTCTACTGTAATTGTTAATGTAGGCTTCCACTTCGATAACTCTGAATATTGTTATCACTTTCACTCTTCGGATAATAGAGATAAAAGAAAGAGAACGATATATATTTTTTCGCTAGTGGCAATGTAATATCTTTCACGCATGATGTCATTTCGCAATCCATTGGCTGGTATCTATGAAAGACATAGCCGAGATGCCTCCGTTCGGCATGCAAAGCAGTCGTTGTATGTGGGTCAACAGTGACAATAGACTATAGTTATAAATACATATTTTATCTAGTTATTGGGCACAAATTTCGCAATAACATAAGATGGTATTTTTCGTATCAACGACAATTAAGTGACGTAAGTGTAGGGCTTTTTATAAAAAAAAGAGTTATTCAAAAATATGCTGTAATTGCTGACATCTTAGGCTACCAAGAAGTGTGTGTTTACGCTAATAGTCTAGATAGTATAGATAACAAGTAAGATGACTTATTAATAATGTCTTGGTTTATCCAAAGTGCAATTTGTCTGAGGAACATTTAAACAGGTTGACCTTGCTAAGTAAACAGTACGTCAACCCTGCCTTCGACGAAAAAGTTGCGCTAAAATATTGTATTTTACCGTTAGGCGCCATCTTGCTTTGTCCTGTCGGTGTATAATCCTGCAATTATCTTGTAATATGTAGCTACCGAAGTTTTATAATTCTGTCTGTTTTTGATTTAGCTAAGATTGTAAAAAATCAACGCAATAACATCGAGTATGTTAATTAACGCGTTATATTTCGATACTTTGTAGAGATTAATATTTTTTATAGGAATTAATAGTGAGCGTTGTAACATACTTTGTTTATATAGATGTCTTTAATATCAATTGAAAGGACGAATTTTGATTTAGAATGATCAGTAGTTGACACTCCCTAACACACACAAACAAGTTCTTCAGTACGACCACAGCAAACTTGCACAATGTCTTTGTGAATCCGCTTCATTGAACTTTCTCTTTCCATTGTAATAATTATTGCAGTTAGATATTGAAAGCTTTTATACATCAACATTTTAAGTTTGATTTCTCCAATACTTATTTGCAATTTATCAAACATCGATGGGTTTAGTTGTTAAAGTAATAATTCATTCATAAAATGCTATAGAAATAATACACCAATCGTAAAACACTGGTCCTATGATCGACGTTTAGAAATCTATTAAAACTGAACGTCTGTATCTGGCTTTATACAACAACTAGCTGTTCCCGTGCGACTTCATCCGCATAAAATTATTATAAGTTTATTTTATTGTTTACATGTGTTAAATTATCAATTGCAAATGTCAAAATGACATGACATGATGACAAAGCATGGTAACCTTGCTTCTTTGATGTTGGCAGCAACTTATGGCAAACAATGCCGTGAAAATATATAGCCTAAAGCGTGACGTTATTGTAGGGCTTTTTTTTTTATTAAATAAGGGATTATTCAAAAATATGCTGTAATTGCTGACATCTTAGGCAACAAAGTGTGTGTTTACGCTTTATTATAATGGTATAGATGAGGGATCGTTTTTAGGGTTATGAAATAAACACTTATAAAACTGTTGCCTTTGACCTTATCACTTAACATTGTAATTATTTATGTTTACTTTAAAAATACTGTTTGTGTATGACTATTATTTATTAATACGTCATTATTATTGACGTACATTAGTCCTGTTGTGATACACACTGGAATAACACGTCTAACAATCATGTTGTGTGACGTCACAAGATTCATCACAAAACCACAAACAAGATAGTGTTCAAACGAGTACAGATCATGCTAATAGTTGGCCCTAACGCCCCGATCACATTGACCTACGTATGCAGTATCGATATCCGAATATATTAATTTCATATGGTGCCTATGTACACATTTGTAGGATCAGCAACTGCTGCCGCACTAGCCCGCTAGCCCGATGCAATACCAATAACACAGATAAGAAAAACATGAAGTGGAAATAGTTCCGCGTTTTGTTTAATGCGTATTGAAGAATAAATATTAGAATGATTACGAGAGAATCTTTTAACCTATTGTAAATTAATATAACACTGTTTCGTTCTACAAAACTGTTAACAGGCTTACTATATCATAGCGAAGTGGAATTCATATTTCAATTCCGCTGAGCTTTCGTATGTCAATGTGATCGGGGCGTTAGCGGTTTACCGCAGAGGCCGAACGACGAAACAAACTCTTTTTCGTATTATTTCTTATGCTCGTATATTTTTAAATATCGCATCGAATTGCATTCTCGGAACGATTGCATGTTATTTTACGACGGCGAGTTATGGCGCATCGCTTGAGTTTAAAGTTGCCGCAAATCGGGTGTAAAGATGTACAAGAAAATTTAGCTCAGATTTTGTACTTATTTCTATCTTAAAAGTAATAACATTTGTGTATATAGAGAACGTAAAGACTGTCTATTAGCTCAAATATTTAACTCTATTTCTTGGCCAAATAATGGAATCACGGACTAACGTAAGGACTGATTTGGATTGTCCACGTCACAATCACATAATATTAAGTGTTACTTCCAAAATAACTGTTTGCATGGGCAACGGCCACTTCGTTATTTTGGCAAATTTAACTGGCCGCTTGCGCGTTCGCCACCGTTAACATAAAAAAATAGAATAGAATTATCTTTGGCATTAGTATGGTGATCATGTCTATGTACCGTATCCAGATATAAGAAGTCACGTGTTTAAACGTTTTGATATACGCTATTTATAACGGCCGAGTACAGCGCATTAACCTCGTCTTTATGCGTTTGTTTTACAAGAGGTTACATGCAGCTCGAAATTCCATTTTTTTATACCATCGACGTTTCTGTTTTAGATTTTATTGCATTCGATTTAATTACATCGGTCTATTAAAACAAAGGTTAACACTCGATTGTCGTGTTTATTTAAAAAAAATAAAAAAACACACTGTACTTATTGCATATTACACTATTCTCGAATTTATCACTTTTTAATCAATTACCGTAACCCATTCCGAATAAAATAATCGCGAGTGAAACGGAACGATAATGCGTTTTTAATTCGCGCGCATTTTACTTATGAGACCTTATAATGGACGCTATTAGGACGCCGAGTGATTCACTTATTGAATCACATATTTTACCAATGTTTAAAAGCCAAGTAAAGCATTGTAACCTAAGGAATAATATAAAGAATTTAAAAATTTGTATCGTAACATTTTAAAAATGAAAGCTGGTCCATAGTAGCATGTAGTTGGAACTTTATTCACATCCTTTAAAAAAAATACAAAAACAAAAATGTAAAATTGGGTACATGAAAATTACGTCATTCAAGTGATCCTTACATAATGAATATTAATAAGTAACTTAACAATTGGTTAGTAACAGTCGTGTGCAGATAGCGGTCGGAGCGCGGGCGTGTTATGCCAAACATTTCCGGCGAGGCTCCGTTGAAGGCTGTACACTTTACATCATTTAATTTAACACAAGTTTTTTTATCTGTGATACAATTCTTGGTTATTGAAACGATCAACTAAACCATAAATATCAATTTGATGAATATACGTCTGTATTGAAATTTGGACTTTGTAAGTAATAAGAAAATAAATCTATATTAAATATCTTCTATAAGAACAGTTTCCTAAACCATCTTACATCAGCAATGTTACGATAACAGTAAAAACAGACATTTTATTTAATGCCCCTAAAAAATTCTAACCTAAAACGCTTCATGAAACATTGTACAAGCAAATTAAAGTTTTTAATCTGTACACAATAATCAATGAAACACTCCCATGACACACTACTACTTGTTCACAATGACACACTTGAGCGACTCTCTAGGCAGGCGATTGTCAAACTTTTTCACCACACGACCCCTTAACCAAATAATATAAGTTCTCGACCCCTTGCTATTTGGAGCAGATAACCATAAAATAAATTTTCCACAAGTTTTCCTAATTTGAAAATTAAAAAAACAATGAAATTCTTATAAGGTGCTGTGACCCCCTAACAAAGGTTTTGCGAACTCCTGTGGGGTCTAAAGTTTAAAAACCATTACTCTCTTGTTATTATAATACGCGTAAATTAACAAAGCAATTATTACATTACGTGGGTACTAAATAAAGGAATTAACACGTTATTACGTTATGTTAATAATCTTAAGTTTTTTTCATAAATACAGATAAAAAACTGTTTTGGTTGCTAATGTTTTGATCATTATTATGCTAGGAAGTTATATTCTTGTGGTTTTAAAGGATGACGGTATACAGGAAGGATTGTTAATTCAGTTTTTATACGAGTAGAAAAACTGTGGGTTTTTATGAAGTCATATGTGTTATAATTATACTTTTAATACCTTGGAATCCTTGATTTTTTAGTTATATTACAAAAATATACCTTTAAAGAATTTGGTTTTATATTATACTAATATAAAGAGGAAAGATTTGTATTTTTGTATGTATTGAAGTCGAAAACTACTGAGCCGATTTCAAAACTTCTTTCACCATTGAAAAACTACGTTTTCAGTGAGTAACATAGGCTATATTTTTTAATTTCACGCGGGCGAATTCGTAGGCAACAGCTAGTTTTGTTTAATTTTAGTTTTTTGGCTGTGTCTTTTAACGTGATTTCTTTTTAAATTGATGATGTAATATTTTTCTTAGTATTGAAAAGTGTTTTGGCTTAGTGATTTGGTTTTTATTTCTATGAATTATGTTTAATAAAGTGTTTTATTATCTTTACAGTTAACAGAAGAAGTGCAGAGAAAGCAGAGCGATTATCAGAAATGCCTGGAATCGTACAAACAAATGAGGGCTAAGTTCGAGGAGAACTACCTTAAATGTAAGTGTAAGTTTTACCTTTTTTATTATTATTACACAATATAATTTTATCAACATAATAAGTACAGAAATTTCGCTTACTTTAATAAGTTTAGCCGCTATTTTTATTTGCTTTTTTCGTGTAAAATTAATGGAAATTGATCCGGTGATTTGAGCTCGTCAGAATGGAATTAGATTAATTTTCGTATAAAATAAAATTCAAATCAACATATGGAATAGTTTGTGAGAATTCAAAGCCTGAATTGCGTAGACAACTATAATATTCTAAACGAAAAAAGATTTATTCTAGGTACAGCAAAGAGTAATAAAGAATCAGCTGTCCCATTACATTCAAATAGTGTCTTCAAAGGCAAAGGTAAAATTTGGTTGTGAAAATGCTTTACTAAGATCCTTTTCTTATTTAATCTATAATAGATCTAGAATATAATCTATAATAGTTCTTAGTTGACAAAAACTGAAATATAGCAAAAAGTTCTTAATATGTCAAATATAACTTTTTTCATCTTTTATCATCTGTACTGTATGTAGTTATTTTTTTTTGTTTGTTACTAAAAAGCTCTTTCCGTGCGGCTCCATCCGCAAATTACATAAGTTTTATTTAATTTTTTACATTTGTGATATTTTTAATTACAAATGTCAAAATTCAAATGCACAATTGACAACCATGGCAACCTTGCTTCCTTGATGTTGGCAGCTTGTAGTTTATGGTCCCGTTCCCACATGAAGGATTTCCCAATTTATTTACCCGCTAAGTTGAATAGCTTGAAAACATATAGCCTAAAGTATGTCGTAAGAGTAGTGTTTTTTATTATAAAAAAATATTCAAAAACATACCGTGATTGTTGACATCCTACGTCACGAAGTAGTGCGTGATTTCGCTTTATTATATTAGCATAGAAAGATATAGTTTGTTAATAATAATAGAATAAAAACAGTAGCTAAATAACGTTTGCCCGTTCAATTGCACGGATACAAGTGCAAATTATCGTATTGATGACGTCACTGGCGCCACTGGAACAGTGCTACAGCGGAGCTATTTATCAATCCACCTACGCGTAATGTTTAACTAAACACCCTGTAGAATATAAGTTAGAATATCTATAGGTATTGAATTCTATTCCTAGATTTACCGCACTCATATACGTTAATCGTATACTGCATCATCATTTTCTTCAGGTGGGATCGTGGTCAAGCGCTAGTATAACAAACATAAAAAATAGTATAACAGAACCCAGTGTTTCCTATGACCAATTAACGTCGACTGTAATATTATGCGACTATTTAATAAAACAGATAGCATGTCTACCCAAAGATATTGTATAAGGAAAATCCATCGTATTTTAGCGATAGTTACACTATGTTAGATATTTCCACAAAAGACTTCCTACAAAATATACACGGACGGCCATATTTACAATGATTATAAATTACTTTAAAATACACAAACTAAGTTCTAATGCGACAACGCAAAGATATGGAACGTTCCGTGGTGACTGCGTCGAGACTGCGACTTAACCCCTTATATTTCCTTCCTTTATTCGCTTATTCCTTCCGTTTCCTAATATTTTCCTAATTGTTGTTTTAAATAAAGATAAACGGTATTGATAAATAGACTAAATAACTTTTTAAGAATACAGAATATATAGAAATAGTTAAAAGGCTAACAATTATGTGTTTCTATTGGTAAAACTAAATTTCTAATTTAACCGTGATACAAGTAGAAAATCGATATTTTAATGCAGTATAATCATTATACAGTCATATTCTCAACTGCACTGCAACCTGTTATGTATTGTAATTATATACAAACACCCTAATCTTCCACAGTTAATATACTACCCTTGATTATGCGACTGTAAGTCGACTACACAGAATTGAGTTGATGACTAGCTCCATATAAAGAGATATTGATCATATTTACCCGTTCTTAACGTGTCATATTATAACGGTATAAAGATATAGTATATGAAAAGTAATCACAGTTATTTACTTTATACAATAATCGGTAACTATGTAACGTTACATTTTTATTGCTTCTTATAACGGATTAGATTAAATGCATTATATTTTATTGCGATTTTATGGTATCAAGTGGTAGAATATAAATATGCTATTTAGTATATATAGGCCATTAATTTTAGGAAGTATTATCAGAAAAATAGACCTTCAGTTTCTATAATAAATGACAAAATGTTACTTCTAAAGGAAATTAACTTTTAGGCCTATTGACTTGACCACAACTAGTCATAATTATTAGTCATGGTATTGAATAGTCAACAACTATTTCGTTTATTTGATTGAAAGATTGAAATTCTTTCTACAATTCAAAATTCGTAAAGAATAAATTGCATAGGCTCCCATTCTATCTTTTACGTACCCCGGATGCCTAATTTTATTGAGCCTAGCGTATCATCCATAAATATATGGAACTCTTTACGATATATGGGTTAATGTTTGCTTATATTGTTTAAAGTAATGAGGCATATTTTATATCGTATACAAATTCCAGGTCCGACGAGTAGAGGTGGTCGTAAGTTAGACGAGACT